CATCAGCCTGGTATTGTTGAATGTCAATTAAGGTCTCACTCCAGTACATACAACCTATATCAGTGTCATAAGAATAGGCTATACAGGAACAATTCCTTAAGCACAGACTTCTGCACTCGTTTTCACGACCAGTTGACCACTGAAATAAGTCTGGCACTTTTACCATCCGTAACTTTGAGAATACGTCCTCTTTGCTTTTATCAGTCGCATCGTTACTTCTTTCGCACTGTAATGGCGTCTTCCTCTTGCATCCACCAGTCCAATTCCCTCCATCCCATTGCTGCTTGTTCAATGGTTCATACCCTCTTAAACATTGACATATTGGTGAATTATGTTGGTTACAGAACGCAAATGGACCGCAGTTGTTATATACATCACAAGCGACATCCGGACACTTATACGATCTATCCCAATGACCCGTCTGATTATTCCATATTTCTCCCGTTAGAATTCCATCTGGATTTAAAATATCTTTTACTATTATATTTTGACGAAAACTTCGAGTATAATAGTATGTTCCACCTTCATTCACCATACTGAATTCATAAAGATGTACTGAGGACATTCTAATTACTCCGGTGAAAACCCTACCATTCCACGGACCACTCCGCCAAAGTGGACGATCTTGATTCCATGAGAAAAGTTGTGGAATGCCTATAGAAACATGAAGTCCTACGAAATAATTTCCATAATTTGGATCCTGAGAAGTTCTCCAAGAATTTAGCCTTACCTTCTCACCTGTATTTGTGTTGTGACTTAATCTCAACGTAGGCAGAAAAGCGCTTGTTGGGTGCTTGTGACTTTCCCATAATGAGACATTATTCGACTGATCGAGGAGAACAAGGTTTCCATTATCTATTAGTAGGGCAGATGTATTTCTTGGGGAAGTCGTAGCATTTGTGGACCAAACAATCTCGTTATTTCCATTCAGTAGTACGATGTTACCATCCGTGGATATCGTTATAGTCCCGGAAGAATCATTTAGAGGCCGATCTCGATTGGCAACCCACACGACATACACCTTGGATATATAATACCATATTCCCATGTAGCGTCTGGTGGTTCCACTGGGGCTGAAGAATCCCAAACTGAAGATCTTGCCTTGAGAAACAAGGGTGTCCGAATCCCTGAGGACTGTACTGGGCGTAAGGGTGCGTGTTTCTAGACAAACAACATTACTCGATAGACAAAGGACTATAACTATAACAGTTATAATGTAACAAAATTCTGATCGGAAAAATGGATTCATAAGCTTTCTGATGATCATGATTTTATTTAGGAACGTATCCTTGCTTTGACAAGGTGAATTCATTGTCAAGTATTACACCCTACATATAATTATCCTTCTTTTGTCAAAATTTCCTACCTAAGCTGAGGCGCTTGACTGCCAATCAATTCTAGAGGGACCTTCCAGAATTTTCTCCGTCTGCTGTCTAAAAAAGCGATGACATTTTATTTAGGTGGACTAATTGAAAAGTGAAGCTCATAGATATTCGTAGCCATCAAATTTGATTTCCAACTTGCCACTGGAAACGTAAGAATAATATTTGTCCAAATTGCAAAAATTTATTTTCTTGTTTTTGATAATTACTCAAGAGTCCAAATTTGTTTTTGATAATTGCAAAAAATACATGATTCTTCGCCATCCGTTAGGCACATCTTACTGCCTCGACCAACTTTCTCATCTGTAATCACACTCACTATTTTTTCATCCTATCCAATTTGAACATCCAATTCCATATTCTATACAGTACGAATTGGTAAAATTGTTAATTCATATGCGACAATATTTTAGTATTTCTCTTTTCTCTATTTTCGATTTCCTACGGTGTTCTCGAAACCGCGTTTGTTGAATAAAAATTACTGAATGATTAATTGATTAAGGACTTCGATAACATAATACAGACGTTAGGTTAACCGTGGGGTCAATATTTAAACAAGAAGTAATGCTAGGGAATATACCAATTGCACAACTAATCATCGCAGTTGTTATTACCTAATCATAAAATACTTTTAATTTTGATCAAACGAACTAATTGACTAATTCCTAGTTGTGCAATTTCAAATGGACTATGTGTTGGGCAATTTCAATTATTGCAAGAATAATT